CCGGGCGCGGCCCGAGGCGTGGGGCGGCCTCCCCGCTGCACTCGGAGGCCGGGGCTCGAACCCTGCTGGCACTCATGGGGATGCCGTGCCGTGCCGTGCCCCCCTCTACCCTCTCTAAGTGCAATGACCAGGCAAAGGCCTCTGACCACCGTGCTAGGTAAGCTCCCTGGACCTAGGGCCCTTGCAGACCAGGGGGTGTAGTTGACCGCCCTGAGGGCTGGGGCTGCCCCAAAGGCCTCGGCACCCCCGCAGGGCCGTTACCTGCTGCCTCAGGGGTTGCCTGTGCTTTCACGGGACAGCCAGTGGGACATGGCAGCCAGCAAAGTTAATGGTGCTGAGAAAAGCGGGGATACAGGTAGGGTGTGGCCAGAGGTCCCTGATCCCCTAGTGAGTCAAGAAACAGATCTGCCCTTCCAGAGAGATCCAACATTTCACACTTCAGGAAGCTGCAAGTAGCAGAAATAAAGGGACTTGATGTTCCTGGTTGCAGTATTTAGGGAAGGATTGAAGAAGAGCTGTTGTCATGTCCTCCCTGATTATGCCCATCTGAGCTGTCAGTTTTCCTCAGCACCATGTCTGAGCTGAGTCCAGCCTTAATGCAGCCATGGTCAGCAAGGTGTTTTGAAATACAATCTTCCTCTTGGGTCAGCAGCATTGTTCCTCACCTGCTGATGTGCAGGAGACATGTGGCTCCAGCCTCAGCTAGCTGACTGGAAATCCAAAATGGTTGATACTGGGAGACCTTGTCACCGTCTACAACTACCTGAAAAGAAGCTGCAGAGAGCTGTGGATGAGTCTCTGACAAAGTAACAAGCGATAGGACAAGAGGTAATGGCCTCAAGTTGCGTCAGGGAAGGTTTAGACTAGATATTAGGAAGAATTTCTTTACAAAATGGGCTGATAGGCGTTGGAATGGGCTGCCCAGGGAGGTGGTGGAGTCCCCATCCCTGGAGGTGTTTTAAGAGTAGGGTCAACATAGCACTTAAAGGTATGGTGTAGTTGGGAACTGTCAAAGTAAGGTTAGTGATTGCACTAGATGATCTTGAAGGTCTTTTCCAACCTAGATGATTCTGTGTAACGTTCTTTTGTACAGCCAGCTTTCGAGTTCTCTGTCACTTTTCCTTGTTTCCCAACCACTCTACAACCGAATGACGTTATATCTGAGAGGTATCTGAAACCATCTTAATGGGCTGTAGTTTAACTGAAGTTTGTATCAGAGCAGCATCCAGTCCCAAATGGAGATTCCTCTGAGCTGTTAGTTCTAATACCTGTGATAGAAGTAAACCAGGCTCATCCCCAGCTGCCTAAGGGTCCTGCTGTTCATCTGGTTAGAAGGTAAATGGCTAACACATAGAACTGGAGGCAGCAGTGTCCTGTTGGCTTTTTGAACTCTCTCTGTACTTTCTCAAAACAGAATTTTCATTTCTGCTTGTTTTTGTAAAATTCAATAAAACTGTTGTGTGGAATTTGCAGAGATTCTTTATTTAGTTATTTGAGAAGCGTGGATTGTTGTTTGGGTTTCAGAATAAAAGGACAATACCACTCTATAGCAACTAACAGCACTTGCATATAAGATGCAGGGCAGATCCATGCATGCTTTGTTTTCTGGAGTATTCTGCTGGACTACAGCCCCATTACCTACAGCTGAAATGGGGTAATGCAGCAATAAATAATAGGTAACTAAACTTCTGGTTTTATTGTGGCAAAATATTAAGAATAAATACTTAATGTCTATTGATCCTGTTGAATGCTAAAATTTGTATTTTCATGATCTGTAACAGAGCAGCAAAAAATATTTTGCAGTATCCATAGTGTGCCCTGCCTTTCTTTTCACAGAAAATGGAAAAAGAAATTAGCCTGTGAAATACAAAGTGCTACCTTAGAGAAATCAATTTACAAAACATTGCTAGAACATAACACTTTTGATACCATCCTTATTCTATTTTTATCACAGTAATATTTTCTACTAATGACTGTCATAAAGTAAAATGCATATATGACTACCTGAACAGAGCAACAGTTCTTCAGTGATTTCAGCAGCTCTTCAGATAAGCATGAGCCAAACATTAAACTCTGAAGTCTTTAAATAAATAGTCTGATATTTCCTGAGTACTAAGTACCTGACAATCTCCATCTATTTCACTCAATTTCTTTTTTTAATCTGGTTACATATGCCTACAAACAGAATAGTTATAGACACCTATGGAAAAGTAGGTCAAAGATTACAAGATGAGAATGATACAAAAGAATGTGAGACCTGAAAAATAAGAGAAAATGAACATTTACTGCAGTTAAGCGTGCCACAATGTTTGGGCTAAAATTGGCTGTTTGTCAGGGCCTGAAAGGACAGCAGAGCCTGCCTCAGCCTGACAGAGTCCACATGAAAATACCTCAGCTTTGTAGTAACTGAGCCACAAGCAGCGCCAAGATCAGATAATTTTTTCTGTCAGTGATAACCAGTTGATGCTGGGTTTAGAAAACCACATGAAGAAAACATGAAAAACCCTGCATTGAATGGTAGATTCTTTTAAAAATAAATTGTAAAATAAATGCTGCCTGTTAAAAGGCTATTCAACACCCTTTCCCTTAGCTGTTGATGTCACTTCGAATAATTTCTTATTCCCTTTTGTTATAGTGTGATGAGGTTTATGGCATTACCACGGGACCCTGGAAATTCTCCTCACCTGCATGTTAGAAGCATTCACAAGGAGAAAGAGTGGTATTTGAGATGGAAGGGTGATTGAGTTGCAAAGAGAAGCTGGAACGTGCAGTATTTCTGGGTTTCTCCTTTTTTGTTTTGTTTGGGTGGTTTAGGTTTTGATTTTTTTCTTAGAGCAGTTCTAGGAAGTACTGTTTTAGAGTCAGAAGAAAACATTTTTTCAGTGAGGGCATATAAAGAAGTGTGGAAAAGAGCATGGGAGTCTCAGAGAAAAGCAGAATAGGAAGAGAACAGTGGAGGAGGTTGCATGAAAAGTTAGGTGAGAGGAGCAAAGCAGGTGCGTAAACAGAACGAGAAAAGACAACTGCAGAGTGTTAAGTATGGAAGAAATAGACAACAATATTTTTGTGGAATTAGTGTAGGTGAAGAAATGAACATTTTTATTCTTTCTTTGCACTGAAAAAGTGAAAACCCTTTTTAATGTCCTTGAGTAAGCACACTTTTATGCAAAAAATAGAGTTGGTTTTTTTTTTTTTTAATCAAGATGTGGCTAGAAGTTCTTAACCAGATAGACAGAATACATGCTGTGATATTGGAGCATGACCTACCAAACTCTCTCACAGTAACTTAGTTTTATTTCTTCCTATTTGTTCTCTTAGTATAAAACAAACGTTATGACATTTTGAAATCAAAAAAGATACTGCCATTGTCTTCAGTGAGCTTTATATGAGTCTTCAGTATATAACCATGAGAGTGCTGATTTCTTCAAAGTTTCATTGAATCCTACACAGACTTTTTTACTTCATTATGAAAAATAGTTAACAAACATTGCTTTTCTGTAGAAAATAGAATTGTTAAAATGTAGTAAGTTAATTTCTGTCTTATGAAATTAAGAAACCAAAGCAACCCTGAGCTTTGTAATCCATCAAAGATTGTGTTGTTCTCAGGAAAACAGTATATGGCTGGATTGCCAGGGGAAAATAGGAATATGAGATATTTTCCTACTTCCTTGTAAAAGTGAACTATGTATAAAACTCCTTAAAGCTTTTTATTAGCTAAATAAAGTACAGCAATCTGAAAAAAATGACTTTCAGAGAAACATTTTAAGTGATTAGACTATGCTGCTCAGTGGGGAATGGAGATGATGTTGTTCTGATGTGCTGTCACATAGTAAGTGATGGAGGGATGGAGGTAATAAACCCTGGGCTTAAAAGTTTATGTTGGTAGGAAGAAGTGAAACAAGGCAAGCAAAATCTGATCTGCAAAGGAAAAGTCTGGCTTAACTCTAGTGGGTGAAATTAATCTGGGGCACAGATCAAGGTGATTCTTGAAAGCCTTTTTGATCAGCAGTGACAGGGACATCTGTGCAAGAGAAGGGCATTTTCAATATGACACATGATCATGCTGGTAAATACTGGGTGCTTTTGTTATCCTTGAACACGAGACTTCATAAAAATGAAAACAAGAGTCTCTGTGGAGAGCTTGATTTGTATTTTATAATATATCTAATTCAACACTGACCTAAGTAAATGCATCAATTTGCAGCTCATTGAAACCAGTGAAGAAAATTAGCTGTAGGTTTTCGTTGTTTCAGATGTAGAAAGAAAAATGTAGAGATGTGAAACGAAGCAGACCTCTTCATCGGGAAGCAGAGCTTTCTTTTAACTAGACATTACAGAGCAAAGGGTATATTGTTTTCTCCCTTGGCTTACTCAAATCAGAATTGCTCACTTCCATGAAAGTGATCTTGTTTGATGGCCTTGTACACTCGTTCACTTGGGCAAGTGAGAATATCCAGCTGGTGGTAAAGTGACCTCTGTGGTCTTGTGCCTCAGTGCTTCTCATCAGCTGGAGTAGTAGAAAGTCTGCACAAGGCTGCAAGACAGGAGTACAGCACCCAGCCTCAGCTGCAGCTGATGTGGCAAAGCAACCACCTACAGAGACTTTAAGTGCCTGACTTGAGACTGGAGGGTTGCTACTTTACTAATGTCCTAAGCAAGGCTGATCTAAGAAGTGTTGGAAGATATAAAATGTACCATAATGGTGCTACATTACCTTTTTTTTTCCTTAAGGGAACAGCCCTTTAAGAGGGACTTTTGCTGTGAGGAACACAGAACAGTATATTGTATATTTTCATGGAATCATAGAATCATTTAGGTTGGAAAAGACCTTTAAGATCATCAGGTCCAACAGTAAATGTAACACTACCAAGTCCACCATTAAACCATGTTCCTAAGTGCCACATCTACATGTCAATGTGTTCTCTGTGTGTACGTTCAGTATGTATGATGCAGTAGAATTTGTGTATTTCATTTCTGCTTTTTTTCTGACAAACAACCTGAAATGCAGTATCCCTAGCCAAAGATGTGCTTTCAGTTTGGGTTAATTTTAACTAGACTAAGGAAAACATAGAAAGATTAAATATAAAAGTATCCATACAAGAGTGAGCAGATGGCCCTTCTCTGCTAATCATCTTGTGGGCCTCAGTGACAATGATG